GAATGTGGCTATGCTTTCATCTATTATATTAACAAATGAATAAGAACTTGAAAGAAATTTTCTTTTCTTCACTGGCATTTCAAATCCAGGTGAATGTATTTCATAGTGGAGGCCAAAATGAGCACGAAATGTGTTTCACTAGAAAAATTTATTGGAAAATCTATCATGTGAAGCGAAAATTTTTCAAGAATGGTATAGAATTATACGTTAGAAAATTATTTTCCAAGAAATTTTCGTCTAGCATCACGTTATCTAGTTTCTTGCATGGTTAAGTTTTCAATTAAATAACGAAAGTCTTTTATATGAAAAAGCGAAAAAAAAGCGGAAACTTTCCGCAAAAAGCGGAAGAGGTGGCAACCCTGTGACAGATCCATCTATAATTCTTCCTTTTCAGATATGTTGTCTTGAGTCGATCAATGTACATATTCGCACAGAAGTGGATGAATCGAGGATGGACGACTGCTTGGATAACAGCACGTGTACTGTGTTTCATTTAAATAGTGCAGATTGTTATTTTCCGTTTGAATAAAAGCCGACCCAGCATGTTTTTTTAGTCGATTGAAGACATCACGCATCTGATTCAATTCTTTCCCGCCGTGTAAAAGAATGAATACTTTGTGACAATCTGCCAGACATTTTGTGCTCTGCTTTTCATACTCATCTAAATACGTAAAAAATGGATCGATTCGACATAGTGTATGATTCGCTTTGGCTTGCCAAAGCAGAATGTTCATGCCAGTTTCGTCTAAATTCGCACCGTTAAAGTTATTATCCCGCATTAGAGCTAGAGCACGTCGAAGAAATGGATATGCTCGATAGTTCCATGAAAATTGAGCGTGCATATAGGGTGTAGTTCGATCAGTTAGTCTAAGGCCAAATCTATTCAAGAAATACCGATAATTCATTGGATCATCAGGATGACGAGGAGCCAATGGAAGTGAATATGGCCAACGACGAATGACATCAAAGAGAATATCGACATTCCAATTAACAACACTATCAGCTTCTAATTGCACACCGTAGTCGAGTTGACTGTGCACTATAGCATAAATTTTACAGAAATATACTGAATAACCACAATCTTTCCGAGCTAGACGTCGTTTGATTAAGCGAGGATATCTTGTGGTGTCAAGTGCAAGATCAACATCGATACCATAGGCAATCACTGGACGTGTAGAAAAATAATGAACAGAATCCAAAAGATTACCAAGAAGGGCAAGATAGTTTGGTCTATTGTCACTGAAAACGACAAAAGCTTCACTTGGAGTACTGTTCAACAATGGTCCAGAGACGATTGGCACCGGTAATGTTGACATACGATTGAAGGTGAAGAAAGAGTTGCTCAGTGCCAATACTCGGAAAAAAAACACGATATCAAAGGAAGCTACTATATGACAATAGATAACATAAACAAATAGTACCCAGATAATAACCATAGCAAACAAGATACGGCGATAGTACCGTCGAAAATCCATAGTGATTTCTAGTAGAAAGTAAAAAGAGATCTAAATTAATTTAGGATCTATGAATAAGTTTACGATAGGTTATTTAAAATATTTAATCAAAATAATTCGAATAAAAAAAGTGTTGAGTTTTCAGTAAGATAAATAAAGCTGTTCTACTTTTATTATAATTATCGTCATCCCTTCCAAACTGATAGAAGATACTGTTTGAATTAGTTAGTTAATGACTACATATTAAGTGTAATCAATGGTATTATCCAATAAAAAGAATGTTTAATTTGTAAAATTCCTATTTCTTATACATAGGAAATCGAGACTGAAGATAAAATGATCTCATTATCTATATATATGTGGCAGTAGACTTTAGAATCTAGTTGAGATTGGAATTGTTGATTATTCTATAAATGTTGTGAGAAAGTGATTCATAGAAATAAAATTTTGTTAGTGAGTAATATGAGATAATTTAATTCAGCATGCAGCCTCAAAAGAAAACGTTTTTGTTCTGAAGATTAATTGTTTATTTTTCCTGATTGAAGAGAAAAAAACGACAAATATTCTGAATACATGTTCATGTTTTAATGCTCGGGACATTGGACCATAGGGACATAGATTTTTTTCTTTCTGTACTAGAAGAAAAGAAAAAGATTTTCGCTATCGTTATTTCGAAGTACGGGTCTCGAGCAGCTGGGTGGGGATGGAACAGTTTTTAATTCGAATGATATAGAAGGAAAGTAAATTTTTTTAAAGGTTTTCATGAAATTAATAAAGAAGTTTCTTATATTAGTCCATTTAATGTGTTATTATCAACAATGGTTCTTCGTTAAACAAATAAATAAGTTAATGTAAAAGAAATTTCATAATTTGTGGCTGATCATTGTCTGTTTCATAGTGACGAAGATCGATTACCCACCCAGTGAAAAATATTTCGAAAAAAAACGGAATAGAATGGTTTCATGCGGATATGGAAACCTACACTGAAAAAAAAAATGGTGTCACACGAATCCTTTGAGGTTTCGTGGAACTTCACTATATACTATTAGATATCGCACCAATCCACGAAACCATTTTAAGGTTTAGTAATTTAAGTGGTTCCGTAAAAA